CTGTCAACATGAAGTGTATGTTACCAAGATTCCTAAAAGCATAAAATCTCTTCTAAAAATATCTTTGTTGAAATTTAATTTTTATAAAACTAGTAGGGACCTGGTGCATGAAATTCGTACACAGAGAGGGGGAGTCCCTCATCCTGCCCTGCACCCTCTCCAATCTGAGATCCCTCTCGCAGTCCAAAACCACTGACTCCAAAGTGCAGACATCTGCTTTGGGAGGTAAGGTGGAGGAAGCTACAAGAGGGCAGCAGGGCTGGAGCAAAGGCAGAAGGTGGCTCTGGCCAGAGTGAAGGCGGAAGGTAGCAGGTCCCAGGTGCTGGAGGGAAGCCAGTGCCAGCATCCAGGGGAAGGAAGGCCTATTCTTGCACAAATCTTCATGCATCAGGCCTCTAGTATACTATAATTATTTCAAAGGTCAAGAATCTTAAAACAGCCAAAATCGGTTTGGCTTAGTGGATAGAGCATCAGCCTGGAGACTGAAAGGTCCCAGGTTCGATTCCAGTCAAGGGCTTGTACCTTGGTTGCAGACATATCCCCAGTAGAGGGTGTGCAGGAGGCAGCTGATCAATGTTTCTCTCTCATCGATGTTTCTAGCCCTCTCTCCCTCTCTCCCTTCCTCTCTGTAAAAAGTCAATAAAATATTGTTTTAAAGGAATCTTAAAACATTTAATCTTAAAACTCTACACCTGGGTGATACAATCAGAAAATTAAGTATTATGAAAATTTTTAATTAAATAGAACAAGTAGAAATCTACTAATTTAAAAACCTTTATTTGTGTATTTTCCCACATGGTACTTTTTTTCTACTGTATATAATGTACTTTTTAAAAGAACATTTTTTTAAATGAACATGTGCACACATTCTCTTTTTCAGTGCTAGTTTCACAGAAGAGTAGGATAAAGTGATTTGGAATAAAAAATGTATCACTAACTCCTGGGAAACTCTTTGAAGCTAATGTAATAGGCATCACTGTAAATTAATAACAACAAAAACTTAGACACAGTCTAGTCTTTCAATATTTTAGAGACTAGTAGGGAAGAAAACAAAACCCAGGCATAGGTGTAAAAATTATTTTAAAATTTTAGTAGGTAGTGCTTCAAGACAAATCTATAGTAATAAGAAGATCCCTATCTCACGCACAGGTGTAATACCAATATCTGATGTGGGTGGTGGAATGGCCAGTAAATGAGCTTTTTTCTGAGGATTTTTATAAGAAAAATATCAGGAGTTAGCAGCATAGGCTGTGGAGCCAGAATTGTCTGGGTTTGCATCTCAATTCTATCATACACTGATTGACTTTGGTGGCTTCACTTAACCACTCTGTGCCTCAGTTTCTTCATTTATAATTTGATAATTACGTATTGTTCACAGAATTACAGTGCTGTTGGGAGGATTAAATGATTTCATGTGAGCAAAGCAGGTAGAAAAATACGTAGAATGAATCTAAGTAACTAACTATCCTAAACCAAGGCAACTTAAAAAGAGAATGTGATGGAGCACATGTCAGTCTATGTGTACTCAAGCCTTAGTATACCTACAGTGAAATACATATTAAAACATGTCACCGGCCCACTATCTTAATCATGGGGCTGATTAAGCAATGGGCACACCATATCTTAGCAGTCTTTTCCAAACTTAATCAGCAAAAAAGTCCTTAGTGTTCTTACTAAAACACTATGAAGTGGTTACATATTTAATTCCATCATTGGAACCACAAAATACCCCTCTACTTGTCAACAGTATTTATGTACAACACAAAATTGTAATCAGGAACACCATTTATTCAGAAAAAGACAAACAGGGTCAAACTGGGCATGGTTAGCTAATTTTGAAGTTCTCAGTGACTATTATCTCACTATTCATTTGGTCATTTTGCTGTAAGAAAAACAGACATAGGTGATGAAGACTAGAGAAAAACGTAAAACAAAAAGAAAAACATAGAACTGAGAAAATGTTAGCTATTAAATCTCCCCACTGTTATTGCATTTTATTGTTGACAGTATTAATGTCTGTGTCCATGGGCTATGCATATATGTTCTTTGTATAATATCTTTGATTAAATAGATAGCACAAGTAGAAATCTACTAATTAAAAACCTTTATTTGTGTATTTTAAGTCTGTTCCATGTACCCACACCTCTGGAGCCCATTCAAGACTTGCTGTCCTGGAATCCAGGTCTTATGTCTGTTCATCAAAACCCTTTCTGGTGGTGCTCTATTCTATTCCACAGGTTTGAGATTTCTTCTCAACCAAAGACGCCAAACATTCTCTACAGCAAGAGACCCGGGTGTAGAGTTCCTGAGGCTGCTTTGCTGAAAGAGCTGAACCACAGAATCTTGGAACTGAAACTTACTTTGAAGATTCCTAGTCCACACCTTTCACACCATTTTCTAGAAAAAGCATCCCCAAGGAAACCCAAGTCCCCTAGGTAACTGGCAGCAGAGCTGAGACTGTTTACTTTGAATGTGCCTTCTACCAGTTTTCTGCTTATTTGTTTAACTACAGTGCACTGCCAAGAAAACAGACTTAACTGTAAAACTGAAAATCAGAAAAAACAACACAATTTCAGGCCACAACCTTAAATAGCAGCAAAGAAAAAAGAAAACATCCAACTCTGAGCAAATATGTATCTGGACAATGGCATTTTCATCTGGATTCAAGCATTCAAAATAAAAGAAACCTACAACTGGCTAAATTCTATAGCTTAACAGAAAAGTCATGGATAGGACACTGTACAATATATTTAGTCATCTTCATTTGTGCTTCATACTTCTCATGACCCCAAGCCCTGCCTGGGACAGAATTTGTGATAATGTCAGGATTACCAGGGACTTCCTCATCCATCTATTTGTACTGAGCCGTAAGTGTGAGTATGTACGTAAGAGGGGGAAACAAAGATGGAAAAAGGAAGAAGGTTTATAGAAGTATATTTCATATATTGATTTTCCTCTTTCTTCATATGCAGCTTATGAAGCTGCATTCTTACATCAGAAATAAATTGACACATGATATTAAAAGTAAGCAAATAATAAAAACTTTTATTAAAATGCCATAACCAATTTCAAGTGGGATTAATATGCAAATATTACTATTCTTTATAATAAGTAAATAGCAAATGGAAAACAAGGGGTTTGGGACATAATAAGCAAATTCAAATGCAAAAAAACAAGTGGGTTTCAATTGCATTCAATTATTTCACCCAATCACCTAAAAATGAAGATCTTCTCAAGAAAATTGCATTGCCTTCCCAACTCCTTGGAGATCCAGTTTAGTTAACAGCCTAACTATGCTTCAGAGATGACCATGTAGCTAACATGTCAAACTAATTTTAAAGTGTCAATCACGTCCCCTTCAATCTAATTAGTTTGGAAAGTAGTGTCACTGACCTGGAACCACGCAGACCCTTTATTATCATATTATTTGATCAACCTAACACTTTACCTCAGTTGAATTTGAGACACCTGTTACCAAAATATAATATCCTTTCTCCCACACATTACTGGTACCTCTCTGTACAATTTTCTATTTACAACTCAATTTATCCCTATAGATAAGCACAGACAATTTCACAGAAACATCTGCAGAATTTCCCTTACTTAAGATTTCCTGGCAATTAAAATAGAAATGTAAAGGGAATAACAAAGAAATAGACATATCGGGTGGAATAGGTGAGATTTTCTGAAGCTCAAGGACTGCTGAAAGTGGGAAAGAGGAAGAATGAAATAACACAGATGTGCTAGGAGAGATCTGGAACCTTCAATGTGGGAGATAACTATTCCTTTTTTAATATAATACAGCAAGCCATTTTTTTTAAATCTGTACGTTATAAACCCAATGTCATCACATGGGTTCATGTTATAATAAAGAAAAGGTTTCTGAGGCTCATAATCTTTAACCTCACTTTAATCTGAGCAAGTGCAGGAAGAGCCCCAGTTGAATGAAGTAATAACCAGGTCCTGAGAGGACCAAGGTCAGACCACAGTGAGCCCAGAACGGGGTGGGTGGCTAGAGGATGCTAGTCATCAAGCAACAGAGATCCCCTGGCTCTCTCCCTGGCAGGAAAATAAAATTACCAAACCATTTCCCAGCTCTGTTTTGCATATTGAAGAACGGATTTGTAAGCAGGTGATCTCTGAACCACAGAATAACATATGAAGCCAGGAACAGAAAAAAGAATCACATATGTTTGTGTGCCACCACAATGTTGTGTTCATATTTGCAACTGTGGTATTAAAAAAACTATAGAATGGTTCCCAACCTTTATTTGGCCATGCCCCACCTAAGAATGTCTAAAATCCTGAGCCCCCCATCCCCCCCACACACACTGTAACATATAATTCTTATTATTCAAAAAGTGAACTCCTATTCATGTGGAGGAAGCCTAAGAGGACATTAACTTGGTCTAAACAAGCTTCCAAAGAACATGCCATCCATGAAAGGGAAAAATAAAAGAACAAAAGGACAGCTGAAGTACAGAGGAAGAAGTTACTAAGAAATTGTTTTTTTAAAAATCACATGAAGTGACATGAAAAAATGGCAAATAAAGTTCCAAAACACATAATAGAGAAATTAAATATATAAATGTCACAATGTGTGTGTGTGTGTGTGTATATATATATATATATTTATATACTGTATTTGAGGCCCCGAAAGCCATAAGAAATGCAAAAAATTCAGTTAACTCATTCTTGAATCGCCCCCCTTAAAAATAAAATTGCCCCCCTGTGGGGCGTGGGCCCACGTTGGGAACCACTGGTCTAGAAGTTACAGTTAAAATAATGACCACCCCTGACAATAAGCAGGATGTCAGCTGCCCAGGCATCCTTTCATAGCCTGTGTTCTCCTTTCGTGATTGAAGCGACATTTTACCAAGATTCCCATTTGTCTTACAGATCAGGGAGATTCTTTTTGAATGTTTGCTTGAAAAAAATAATTTTTAGGGAATATGATTTTACACACGGTCAAGCAAAATATGTATGTATCTCAAACTTACCTTCAGGTGAGGAGCCTGGCTTTTGGGAAAAGACTGCATTTACTTTACTCTTCTTATTGATATCACTATTTACAGACAAGCTGGACTGAATTTTTCTATGCACTTTTTGAGAAACAGGTGCTGAAAGTCTTCGATTATCCACAGACACGTGTTTGGCTCCATGGTGAATTCCATTTCCACTGATCAGACTTCTGTGGCAGTTCTTTGTCTGGTCTATGTCCTCCTCACTGGGTTCTTGTGCTGAAGTTTGAAGCTGAGGCAAGCGCTGAGGTTGGGCTAAGTTAAAAAGCAGGAAAAATTTATCAGGTTAAAAAAGAAATTAATATTTAAAAATAATCCAAATACATTCAGTAACGGACTGCTTTGAATTTTATCCATGATACTAAAAATGAAAGCAAAAAAGAAAGTAAAATACTAATACATATCGATATAATAATGATTGGAAAATATCCTTTCCTTATATTAAAAGGCTAATATGCAAATTGACCAAATACTGGAATGACTGGTCACTATATCACACACTGACCACCCGGGGCAGTAGCTAAATGTAGGAGCTGGCCCCTGTTGGTCAGTGTGCTCCTATAGGGGCAGTGCCACTCAGTCAGAAGCCAGGCTCACAGCTAGTAAGCGCATCCTCTGCAGCAACGCTAAGGATGTCTGACTGATAGCTTAGGCCCACTCCCCACAGGCCTAAACTGTCAGTCAGACATCCTCTGAGGGCTCCTGGACTGCAAGAGGGTGCAGGCCAGACTGAGGGACACCCACCCCAACTGAATGAATTTTGTGCACCAGGCCTCTGGTGTAACATAACTAATAAATACTATGCTTTGTTAAAAAAGAAAGAATTCTTACCATTTGCAACAGCATGGATTGAATTGGAGAGCATTATGCTAAGCAAAATAAGCCAGTCAGAGAAAGGTGAATATCACATGATCTCACTCATTTGTGGAATATAATGAACAACATAAACTTATGAACAAAAATAGATCCAGAGACAGAGAGGCATCGATCAGACCATCAAACCTCAGAGGGAAGATAGGGAAGGGTGGGGGTAAGGAGGAGAGATCAACCAAAGGACTTGTATGCCTGCATATTAACCTAACCAACGGACACAGACAACAGGGGGGTGAGAGCATTACTAAAGGGCTCGGGGGACAACTGGGTGATAAGGACACATAGGTAATACCTTAATCAATAATGAAACAATTATTTCTGATAAAAACATAAAAAATAAAATAAAATAAGTAAAAAAAAATAAATGTAGAGAAAATATATTTACTAAAGAGGAAAATGAGAAAGGGGGTCATCAAAAGTGACTTTATGAAAGGGCATAAAAACAGAAGGGAAAAAGTGTTTTGTTTTTAAGAAAATTGAAGTTAGGAATCTGAAAAAGTAACTTAACACTGATTCAGCAGAAAAAGTGGATTATTTTCTTTGTATCAGGTCTTCTTTCTGGTACGAGAGATATAGAAGTATTATCTCGCTCTCCCTCAGAAACAGTTAACTACTCCATTATCTTTTGAAATAAAAGGAAAAGAACAATAGATTCATGTATGAAAGCTGGACCATATAGAGCACACATGTCAAACACAAGGCCGGTGGGCCAAATCCGGCCCGCCAGGCCTTGCAATGTGGCCCGCACTGCGCTGTCATCACTGCACTCCACTGCGTTCCATCACAATGACGCGCGCGGTGACATAGGAGGCTTGTGATCTCGCCGGCCGCCTCGCAGGCCGCTGTACTTGCTATCTATTACGCATGCGCATAGATAACAAGTCACGCGAGATTCAGGAGGCGTGACCTATAGTCCGGCATCCGATGTGGTTGTGCGGGTGGCAGAGCAGAGGAGAGAGTGAGTGTGCGGGCATAAAAAACACACAGCAGAAGCTGCCAGTTCCTGGCATAAAGTGCAGGCATAAAAATCGCAACAGAATCTGCTATCTGTACCCAGCCAGGCATTTATTGACTGACTTTTTTTTTCTCCACTCCATCTGCCAAATCAAGCTATCCCTGTGCAGTTTTCAACTTTTTCCTTCTAACGCAGATTTCCAATAAACTACATCTTTTACTGCCAAAATTGATCCCAAAATGTCCAGGAAAAGAAAAGTTGACGGTGAAGGCAGACAATTTAATGACAAATGGGAAAATGAATACATGTTTGTGCTTAGAGAGGGCAAACCAGTGTGTATATTGTGTTATGAGACAGTGTCGGTGATGAAAGAGTACAATATACGTCGTCATTTTGACACCAAACATAATGTTAAGTATGGCAAATATACTTTGGAAGAAAAGCATAAAATTGTTAAAGAACTAACAGGCAAACTACAATCACAGCAGCAAATGTTTACAAAGGCTACAGCGAAAAATGATGCTGCAGTGAAAGCAAGCTTTATAGTGGCTGAAGAAATTGCCCGTACTTCAAGGTGTTTTTCAGAGGGTGCCTTTTTGAAGCAATGCATGCTAAAAGTGTGTGAGCAAGTATGCCCAGACCAGATATAGAGTTTTCAAAATGTCAGTTTGTCAAGAAACACCATTGCAGATAGAGTTCAAGAACTCTCAGGTAATCTATCATCACAGCTGGCCAAACAGGCATGCAGTTATCTCGCTTTTTCACTTGCTATCGATGAAAGCACAGACAACACTGATACAGCGCAGCTGTCCATCTTTATACGTGCTACGAAGACCGACCTCTCTGTCACTGAGGAACTTTTGGATGTAGCTGCCATGCATGGGACGACGACTGGTAGAGATATATTTGAGGCTGTGGAGAAATCTATAAATAATTTTAAATTACCCTGGGAAAAGTTGGTGGGGCTAACTACCGATGGCGCACCTTCAATGTGCGGAGAAAAGAAAGGCTTGGTTGGACTAATGAAGGAAAGAATGCAAAAAAGTCACTGCCACACACCCTTGATTACTTATCATTGCATTATCCACCAAGAGGCTATGTGTGGAAAAGTTCTGGGCATGAATGACATAATGACCACAGTCATTAAAACTATTAACTTTATACGGGCACGTGGCCTGAATCATCGCCAGTTCCAGCAGTTTTTACAGGAGGTGGGTGCAGAGCATGGAGACGTGCCATACCACACAGAAGTAAGATGGCTGAGCAAGAGCGCAGTCCTCAAAAGATTTTTTGAGCTCAGAGAACAAACTGCTCTTTTCATGGAAAGTAAAGGAAAGCCCTTGCCTGAACTGTCGGATCCCGCCTGGCTATGTGATTTTGCTATGATGTGTGACATATGCGAGCATCTCGCCCAACTGAATCTGAAGCTGCAGGGACGCAAACAAGTCATCACGAAGATGTCTGACATGATCACAGCATTCCAGCGTAAACTTCAACTATGGAAGTCCCAACTGGAACAGGACAATCTTGCCCACTTTCCCGTTTGTTTGAGTATCTCAACCACTATTTCTGGTACTTTTCCTTGCAGTCGGCTGGCTACCAAAGTTAGCCGTTTACTAAGTGAATTTGAGCGGCGCTTCTCTGACTTTAGAACACAGCACTCAGGCTTTGACATCTTTGCCAATCCTTTTACAGTTGATGTCAACAATGTGCCCCATCACCTTCAGATGGAGATAATCGAGCTTCAGTCTGACAGTGGCCTGAAATCAAGGTTTCAGGATGTTGAAATTGAGGACTTCTACCCTCTACTGCCCCCTGACTCATGCCAGAGCTCCGACTTCATGCTGCCCATATTCTATCCATGTTCGGGAGCACCTATCTTTGTGAACAGATGTTTTCAATAATGAATCTGAACAAAAACAAGCACAGATCACACATTACCGATGACAACCTCCATGCTGTTTTGCGGGTTGCTACAGCCCAAGAAATAAAACCGAACATTGACTCATTGATCCGGGGAAAATGGTGTCAGACATCTAGCCAGAAAACAAAACAATGAGCATTTTAGGTACATTCCAATATTACTGTTTTGCTTGATACCAATATTACTGTTTTGCTTGATAGCATGTGAGTTGGTTAACAGCACTGTTAAGGAAAAGATTGTTCCACTCATTTTAAATTCACATTTCTGGTTAACATTGTCAGTTTATGACTGTTCAGTAAACCATTTGGCCCGCGATTTAGGCTGGATTTTAGATTTTGGCCCCTTCTCTGATTGAGTTCGACACCCCTGAGAGAAATACTGTGGGGTGCAATGTTTGATGCCCACTTTCCAGCAGATCATGTGGCAGCAGTGCAGCAGTGAGGTTTTCCTTAGAGAAGCCCCTCTGAATGTAACCCTGAGCTGGCTAACTCGTGGGAGGATCTCTGTGCTGACAATAGGTTTATTTTTCATTTAAATTAACCAAAATGGATTCTGGGTACTGAAGCCTAGAGCTCTGATCTCCCCAGAAAAAGTTATCTGTTTACACTGGTAAATAATGAAATTATTAAAATCGTCATTTACTAACATTCCTAAGCAATGCTATCAATGAAAGCATTTCTTCAGTTAAAAACAATAGCAATCACAAAAATATTCATTGTCAAAATTTCCTCTTTTATAATTTCCTGGAATTTCAGATTCTAAAACTGCTGTTATAATTAGTCTTTTTAATTTATGATTATAACAGTTAGAAAATATAAATTAAATCTGAATACTAAGAGCTCTTCAACTTAGAAAACATAATGTATGAAAGCCATAACAGTTATACATGGCATTGATCATGTCTAAAAATAAATGATTATCTGTGATCTAGGACTAGCTAAGACTTGGTATATATTTTTGAGTAGGGCTTTAGCACACATTGTTTACTTCTGTCCTTGTTCAATATCAAAATATTCTATTTATGAATGTACAGATTTCAAGAAAAAGACAAACTGATTTTTTTACTTAATAAACATGGTTTCACATCATCTATTAACATGAATACCTGATTTATAAAAAAACTAATATATAAATCCCTCTTACTGTTTTTCAATTGTTTAGTAAAGAACAAAGGAGAATAATCGTCAAAAATTAAATATTTGTGAGTATCACAAATTAATAGTTGTAAAATGTATCAAAATATTTTGTTTTTCTCCTAACTTCTGATGAAAAGAAGAAAAGGTTACTTGTCTACTTAGAAGCTCTATACACCCTTCTTATAACTAAAATGGGCAGTCCAGGCGTCTGCAGAAGGAGAGCTATTTCTTATGGGTGAGTAACCATTTGATCTAGAGATTAATTTGCTGCTCCTGTAACTCCTTGTATCAAGGAGAATGACATCCTAATGACTGCTATTGAGCATCCAGCTAGTTATACATATTTATCTAAAGGGATGCCAGAGAA